GGCTATTTTCGTCAATAATTTAGCATCAAACACAAGTCCAGGCAGTTATCTGAATATGTTTGCAGACGTCGAAAATAACTTGGAATTGTACTTGGAAATGGAATTCGACACCAATAAATGTCACGTAGATCTGATTGCCAACATGAAAAGGGCATTTGTGTATGTGGACGAAGCTATGGCAAAGGTCAATATCGCAATGATAAGACCTAGTCTAGAGTACAGTGCAGTGATATGGAGTCCATACTTAAAAAATGATATAGACAAACTGGAAAGAGTTCAACGAGCGGCTACAAGATGGGCACCGACCATATATATATATATATAATATATATATATATATATATATATATATATATATATATATATATATATATATATATATATATATAGATAGACTTCAGGAGGATTAGGATTCACCATTTTGGAAGAAAGATGACTATACGAAGGACGAGAGGACACAATGTAGAGTTGAATGTAAAAAGATGCAATAATGTCAAAAAGTTTAGCTTCCCAAACAGAACTATTGAAGCATGGACTAGTCTTCTAGTCCATTCTAGTCTAGCTTCAATTTTGAGTATAACCGATAAATTTAGATATATGCAGACGGGACCAACCTCTACACACTTTATCACCACAGGAATCATCAACACTAATCCACACACCCACACCACACCACACCCATTTAACACACATCCACACGGAGAGGGACAAGGCGCACACACACACACCACACACACACACATCCTCACACGGAACACACCATCCATCATCATCACACCATTATAGGTACTTATTATCTATCCTCACTCATCTATAACATTATATCTCATTCTCTTCATTAATATATGGGGTTACCATTCTATATATTCAATAAATAAAACTAACATCACGGTTACACACACAATATACATAACTTTATGGAGGGCACAAGCAATACGTTCCTTACACTTCACAGGGCATCATATGGTGCATTTTTTACACTACGGAATTCCTAGGACATAATAGGAGTATATATAAAGGTAAAAATATTATGATAAGTATAAAATATTTATAATAAGGGGTATTTATCACTTTGATGGATTTATCAGGGATTATATCTGTCGTGATTCTATTCATAAATATACAATACACTTACACACACACACATTATTTATTTTATATCATTACATCTTGTGTTTCCGAAAGATCAGGGTAGAAAATGTCGGGAAGTGTGTCAACACAATCACAGACAGCGAGACACAACACACACGCACAGCCACACGATAATACTATTAATATTTTTATTAATTTTATGTATGCGTGATGTGTGTGTAGTGTTGTGGTGGTGTGTGTGTGTGTGTGTGTGGTGTGTGTGTAGTGTACATGAGTACATATACTTATTATCCATTCCATTTCATCGCTCATCCTATACATTAAGTCATAAACATGTATATCATATTTATTATACTTCCTATATATATTTCTCATTGTACGTCCTCAATATTTATATTATATTATTTATTTTCTATTTTTACTGTTATTTATATTATATTTGTATGTATAATTATATCTATAATTATATCCTTTATATTCTTAGTGTTTTATTTATAAAAATAAACCACATTTCCTGATAATCTATAAAATTAATTAAGATACTAACTTTTATTTACTCAAACATATCTCTTTCCTACCCACAAACACATAAGCTCATAAGTGCATTTATATCCATACATATTCATAGGAATACATACAGTACACACACATATAGGGTATTTATATAAATGTTATATAATATTATATTCTCATAAGGGTTAGGGGTATAAGATAATAACGTATATAGGGGGGTGATATAATGTAGGTGTAATAGTATGTATGTGATGTATGGGGTGTGTGA